AGCAAATGTTAATAACATTTGTCAGATTATCAGTAAACATTACAATGTTTTCATATGCAAAATATCAAATTTTTTTATTAAGTTATAAGGTTTACAAATCAATGTTTTTTCACATCTATTTTTTCTTTTCCCATGTTGCCTATCTATTATGCGAAGTCTATTTTAAGTCTATCAAGCAAAGTAATATTCATTTTAAGATTAAAAATACTTGTATGCATCAGAAAATTTTGAGATTTCACATGCGAAATCTTTATAATGTTGAGATAGTTTTCATATGTTTCTTAAGAAAAAAAACTTTATTTTATCTGTTATTTTCAGTTATTAATCTCTGTATGGCTTTGGTAAATTTGACCAATCTCGCAACCACCATAAAAAATTAGGAAATAAATATAAATTATGCTTCTTTCATTCTAGAATGAACACAGATTATAACACTAAAACATAAATGTATAGAGTAAATAGCTTAAATCTCATAACATTATACATTTATACATATTTATTATTTTTATTATATTGACCTTTTAGCCATGCCTGGCTAACAATACAGAAGTTATAATGACGTGGCTCACGTGCACTCATGTTACCATATCAAATAACATAAACTGACTTTTGTTCTGTACAAAGTAACTTGTCTTGGCTGTGTTTTAGTAGACTAGTATTTTGTAAAATACAGTCACATTTCAATTACTATACATTATATATGTATATAGATTATTGGTATTTTGAAATAAGCTCATAAACATATTTTTCCTAAAACATAGAAGAGTAAATAAAGAAGTAAAATAAACAATTATCTCTTCTAGTTACAACCTTTATACTTGGTTGCTGCATGATGTAGGTTGCTAAGCCTTTAAAAATTTTGCACTTGGAGAATATGAAACAAAATATTTTTTTTAGGTTTTATATATACATTTGATTAACTAAAAAATCATGAATTACTACATTAATACCATAGAATTCCACTATAATTTATAAAGCTTAGTAACCAAGAAGTTCTTTTACTTAAAAAAATATGAAATTTTGAGCAGACTAAAGACACACCCTACCTCTTTGAATATTGGTTTAAAAGAAAGAAATGG